TGCCTGTCACAAGCTGCTTCTGTACCATGGTTCCTTTGCGGTTCTCAATCAATAATAAGCCATGTTCATGTTGCGATAGACTGGCGATAAGCATGCGATATGCTTGAGGTATTTTCATTTTTTGGAGTGCAAGGTTTTGTACGATTACGCTGGCGCTAATCGTACCTTGTATTATGACGCTTTCGGTAGTTATTCGTTAATATAGCTACTAACAAGTTCTTGGTAGGCATATCAAGATCGAGTGACTGGATGCCGCATCGTACCTTAGGTTTGAAACCTGCGACGTAGATTTTTGCACCAGTCACTCACCCCTCGTTTTAAATCGAACAGTATCTTTGGCCCAGCATGCTGGCAGCCCGTATTCACAAGGTAGGTTATCAGAGGATTTGTATGCACGATTTTCATTTGGGAATTGATGTCGCGAAGCTGAAATTAGATTGCACTTTGCGTCTGACAACTGGCAAATTCCGCCACAAGGTAATTCAGAATAATCAGCAAGGGTTTCAGGAATTAAGCGCTTGGCTCAACAAACAAGGTGCAGCGATAGCCCATGTCTGCATGGAAGCTACAGGCATTTATTGGGAAGCCGTGGCACACTATTTCGCTCAACAGAAATTCCCTGTTAGTGTGGTTAACCCTGCACAAATTAAAGCTTTTGGTGCCTCTCGCTTAGTCAGAACCAAAACGGACAAAGTGGACGCTCGCCTGATCTCAGAATTTGCTTTTGAGCGAAATCCTGGACTGTGGACTGCTCCGTCATTGGCAGAGCAAGCCCTACGTGCCATGGTGTTGCGCCTGGATGCATTGCAAGTGATGAGGACACAAGAGCTGAACCGGCTTGAGGTAGCCCGTGATGCCGTACGACAAGGATTGGTTAATCATATTGAGTGGCTGGATAAAGAAATCAAGTCACTTAGCCGATCGATTAACGACCATATGAATGGTGATCCAGATTTAAAAGATAAGCAAAAATTATTAGACAGTGTTCCTGGGCTCGGCGAGCGTACAATCGCTGTACTGCTCTCATATTATGCAGACTCTGAACGTTTTTCTTCAGTAAAGAAGGCCGTTGCCTTTGCAGGTCTTGACCCAGAGCAGCATGAGTCTGGCAGCAGTGTCTGTCGCAAAGCAAAAATGTCAAAGGTTGGGCATACATTTATTCGCAAAGCACTCTACATGCCCGCCATGGTAACCCTACATCGAACCGCCTGGGGTAAGGTGTTTCAACAACGATTAGCCGCAGCCGGAAAACCTGCCAAGCTCATTATTGGCGCTATGATGAGAAAGTTGATACATGTCGCTTTTGGGGTTTTGAAATCCGGAAAACCATTCGATGCTAGCTTGCATTTCGCTTGACTGGGATAACAGTATCTACGTGATGACAGGTTTACTTTACTTG